GCTGCACAAGCGAGGCCTCGCGTGCTTATCATTCTTGATCCCGCCGTTTGCCGCAATGGCAGCAATTAAGCGCCGCTTTTCAGCAAAAATATTTGAAAACATATAATGTATTGAGATGCTTTCTGAACATCAGACTCATTTAAACCAAAGTAGAAGCAAAAAAGGAAATCATGAAGCAATGCACTTCGTACATGGGTATAAACGTAGCGAGCAGCGTCACACTTGACACTGGGGAAATCAAATAATGCATTTTGAGGGTATCTTCATATCGTGTACATCAAATCTCCCTTCTCAAAATAACATATGACAGACATCACTGTAGTTGCAGCCTAGGTTCATCTGTACAATCTTTATGACAGCTCCGCGATTCCCCACCTTTCGCGCTCTCGAATAGTCTGACGGGTCACGGCCCCGGCGAGCCGAGCAATCCCGATGTGCCCCGGTCAGCCACCGAGCCGATACTCCCGCCGCCGACAAAACGCATCGATCGCGACAGACGGCCGCCGCGCGATCAGCCGCTCTCCGGGCGGGGGCGGCGGCGGGGGCGGGGGCGGGGGCGGACGCTGGCGTCAGCGACTGCGGGCCAGCTCGCTGACGAGCTGCCCGCGTGTCGCCTCGCGCCGCCGTCCGCAGGACGCATCACCGGAGCGAAAAACACACCGTCGCCGAAATCGACGCGGCGGAAATTGCATCAGGTCGAATTTCGAAACTGCTATTTCATGCGACTGGGTTGGAGGTCTCTATCGTTTTACACCGTCCCGCAATCCGAAAATTCGGCTCCTTCTGAGCCATATGCTGACGGGTATGCAAGACCACTACATATGTTCTCGTATGGAAATGAGACCCCAGGCTGACAAAAGAGTGCTACAGGACGCTTATTAGCATCCGAGAGGAAAGACGCTACATATGCAAGATGGTTTCACTCTTTGTTGAATACAATCGTTTGAAAGTTTAAACAGCGAATAGAATTAAAGAATGCTGCTTCGGATCTTTCCTTGTGATATAGCTGCCACGCCGTAAAACTAGTTAGCCAAAACCGGTCACTTATCAATTCAACCCACGAGAAGCATGCAGCTTGGGAATCAATGTAAGTACGTACATACCACACAGGGCGTGAGAGCAGTGACAAACTGATGAGGCGCCATATCACAAGAAATCATCACTGAACTGTATTTTTACTTACAGTCAGCAACCGAGCCGCAATGGGATGATGGGAAATTCTTGTTTTCAATAATTAAACCCATTAATGTCAATCGTGCTCGTCAATCATCATGCGTATTTAGTCGGGAATGATGAATGATAGGTTTGAATTGTACAATGTGGATGCATCTCGCCCTGTTTGCGCTTTAGTCCCTGGCAAAACGCAGCCAATGAAGTATGAATATAAGCGCAATGATAGCGAAAAAAACTTAATTAGCTGAAGCGGAGCACTCGACAGAAATCGCGAAGACCTATGCCACTAAAATCTCACCATAATTACGCTATTGTTGCAAAAACAGCAGTCTTCTGTGATTGCAGCTTCACGACGGCATTTTGATTAGAAGGACCCACACCATAAGCACTGGCCTAAAGCCGGATATACGAGTGTTCTTGTGAGCCCCTGACGGTCCCCTGTGGATATTTACCAGCGGCATTCGAGCTACCGACAGCACAAGTGTGTCGGCAACAAAACAAGCGTCGGTAGTTTGCCTTGCAGTAGTTCAGCAGTTTCTCTGTTTATTATTCATACAGATAGTGATCGTGAACTCAGAGCTCAGGCTCCGATAAAGTTCTCCATCCAACAGCGCACAGTCTCTCCACGAGGAGATGATTTTCCTCTCCTGATAATTTACCCCGGCCGCGGCAGCCGGCGCGCCGAAGGGCAATAGCACGGGGTTCGGGTGACCATTGCGATAGCCGCCGACGGACGCTCTCTCGTTACGATGATTTGTGGCCAGTGGGGACGGCAGACCCGACAATCTCTGTTCGACCCCAACCGGGAGAGACGAGACGGTCTCAGCCCGATAGAGCGCACCCGAGCAATAGCAGAACCGTGCACCGTCTGCTGAGTCGAGTAGACACGTGTTCAACGGGCTTACCTAAGTCCCAAATCCATCACAAACGTGTTCAAATCCTGCTTTTTCATACCCGGCAACGACTACCCGCTGGAATCAGATAGGGACAATCAGTCATTTTACGACGCAGTAAAATCAGCTCGAACATTGTCTGTCAGTTGTCACTGACATGCGGGGGTATGTCCACTGTTATGGCCACAATGCATGCCATACTGTTTTCGTGTGAAAGCAAAGATCTGACTCGGGTCGATAACAGTAACACCAGCTTGACCACACTCATAGTAAGGTCTCGTATGAGCTCCTCAGAGACCTTCTTAGGGCCACTGCACACCGGCAAACCGAGCCACTCTCACAGGGTCTGCTTTGACAGCGCGGTGAAAGGCCCGCTGATGAGTCTCGTTGGTTGTAGGTTTTGATCTAATCGGGTCATACCTCACACTTCCTCTCGCCGCTGCATAGCCTGTACGTTTGTGCAGCCCAGCCAGCATGGTTCAAAGAAGAAGCCGACCGACCTCTCAGAGAAGCCGTATGACAGCTTTATTTAGGAAGATTGGAGCCTTTCATGCACTGCCGCAAGGTATTGCACGACAGGTACGACAGTGTCGACGACGAGGTGTTATATAAAAGGTTGCGCCATATCCTGGCTTACACTGCACTCAGCTTTTCAACTTTTGGAGGAGACAAGCTTCATCAATTTGTATCCACCTGCACGCGAGAAGTGACATTTTTCGATGACGCTGTCTTCATTCGTTTAAATAATTTAGCACTACCTTTATAACACGTCCCCCGTCATGAGCACGCATTCCTCCCGCCACCCAGCTGTGCGTCGCCGCGGGTTTACGGTATGCGGCGTGACGCCTCCGTCCCGCGGGCCGGCGCGGTCACAGGTGCGTTCGCTGCAGTGATGTGGCGGCGCCCGACGACTGGCCGTTCGTCGCCTCAGTTCGCAGCCAATTGGACAGGGAGCGAGGATTTATGGCGGCATGGTGGCGGACAAAACGACTCTTGGAACGTCTTCAAACGGCCGCCCTGAGGGTGGAGGGGTGGGGACGGGAGGAGAGGGGTGCGGCGTGACAGGTATAGTGGCGAGGAATGCGATCAGGAGGGGATATAATCGGGATGACAGGGCAGGGCAGGGAAGCAGACAAGAAGAGTGCTCGCTCCATCGGAGGAGAGGAAGGAAGAGCGATGACTGTGCAGGAGGAAGGGGATATCAGGATAACGGGAAGCAAAGAGAGGGCGATTTGGCAGATGGCTGATGGAAGAAGAATGGAGGGTGGCTGGGAGGGAGAGCGCGGGAAATCAAAGGGGTGAGCGCGGAGAATAAGACTCGACCCGTTCGAGGACTTTGTCAGCGGCCCGACAGCCGCAGATGACCTGCCCGGTCGGCGGTTGGAGCGCGGGTCCCCGGGGGACGTCTGACTGGGACAGACTGCCGGCCGGTCGGCCCTATCGCCGGAGGTGACAGGCGACAGGTTCAGAGACGGGTGGCCGCGGGGAGGACAGGTTCAGAGACGGGTGGCCGCGGGGAGGACAGGTTCAGAGACGGGTGGCCGCGGGGAGGACAGGTTCAGAGACGGGTGGCCGCGGGGAGGACAGGTTCAGAGACGGGTGGCCGCGGGGAGGACAGGTTCAGAGACGGGTGGCCGCGGGGAGGACAGGTTCAGAGACGGGTGGCCGCGGGGAGGACAGGCTCAGAGACGGGTGGCCGCGGGGAGGACAGGTTCAGAGACGGGTGGCCGCGGGGAGGACAGGTTCAGAGACGGGTGGCCGCGGGGAGGACAGGCTCAGAGACGGGTGGCCGCGGGGAGGACAGGTTCAGAGACGGGTGGCCGCGGGGAGGACAGGTTCAGAGACGGGTGGCCGCGGGGAGGACAGGTTCAGAGACAGGTGGCCGCGGGGAGGACAGGTTCAGAGACGGGTGGCCGCGGGGAGGACAGGTTCAGAGACGGGTGGCCGCGGGGAGGACAGGTTCAGAGACGGGTGGCCGCGGGGAGGACAGGTTCAGAGACGGGTGGCAGCGGGGAGGACAGGTTCAGAGACGGGTGGCCGCGGGGAGGACAGGTTCAGAGACGGGTGGCCGCGGGGAGTACAGGTTCAGAGACGGGTGGCCGCGGGGAGGACAGGTTCAGAGACGGGTGGCCGCGGGGAGGACAGGTTCAGAGACAGGTGGCCGCGGGGAGGACAGGTTCAGAGACGGGTGGCCGCGGGGAGGACAGGCTCAGAGACGGGTGGCCGCGGGGAGGACAGGTTCAGAGACGGGTGGCCGCGGGGAGGACAGGTTCAGAGACGGGTGGCCGCGGGGAGGACAGGTTCAGAGACGGGTGGCCGCGGGGAGGACAGGTTCAGAGACGGGTGGCAGCGGGGAGGACAGGTTCAGAGACGGGTGGCCGTGGGGAGGGATGTTGGGAGAGAGGGTGTTGCTACCGCCACTCAGCTCACATATCAGTGGCTCAGATCAGTGACCGATCTACCCAGCTTCTGCTCCAGACAAGTGGCTCATCCACTCAGTAATGCTCTACTCAGTGACTGATCCAATCGCCGACCGCTGTACTCAGTACTCCAATCAATGGTCTGCTTGGGTAGCACGACATAGTCCAGCATGTCACGACGTCACCGTTTTTCCGCACCACTTCGTTTGCCACCACCACTGGCTCAGTTAACCCGCGTCGCCGACCCAGTGAACGGCAGTTGGCCTCTGTTGGCTCCGCAGAGCACAGATTTAACGCCTGGCTTCGGCCGCAATCCCTGGAGTCCCGAGACGGAAATGTCAATGCATATCAATTCCAGAGGAGAGCTCTGCCAGAGCCGGACTGCTCTGATGACTCGGCTGATCCATGGTGTCGTCAGTCTGGCACGTACGGCGGGCGGCGGACGCCAGGACCCCGCCCCCGTCCTCCCAGTCTGCCCCCGAGTCGCCCAGTGTCCGTGCACCCCCTCACCTACCTTGCACCACCAGCTCGATGTTAGCGTGGTCCTCGCTGAGCCCGTTGACTCGACACAGGTAGCGGCCGCTGTGGCGCACCAGGACGGGCTCGTAACGCAGCGCGAACGTCTCGGGCACCAGCCGGATCCTGTCGCGCCGCTCCAGCACCGTGGTCACACCGTCTCTGAACTGGACCAGCGGCGTCTCTAGCGAGGCGTCCACGGCGGCCACCACGGCACTCTCGGTGCAGCCGTAGCAGAGCCAGGTGAGCCGGGCGACGGCCGAGTGGGCGATCCCGGTCAGGCCCAGACAGGGCAGCGTCACGTTGGAGCCCGTCCGGGCCACCATCACCGTGGTGCGAGACGAGGCCGCGCAGCCTGCCGGCAGACGGACGGGGCGGTTAGCAAGGGAGGAGAGACGGGTGGCACACAACAGGGTTCGTTCAACGATCGGCAGGGGAGCGGGCACAGCAGCGATCGACGTGGGCGGAGAGGTGCGAGGAAAGGAGGACGAAGGGTGGAGGCAGGCAGATATAACGTCTACATCTTCTTTCGTTTGGGTGCTATTAAATGAGAGTTTTTGAACTTCAATGATGAAAATGACAGAACTCAGAACGAGATCAAACCACCCCTTTCTGCATTATTCATGTTGATCTTTGCAGCGCACCGGGCTTTCAATAGTTTTCCAGTAAACTGCTCTGCGAATAGCGTGTTCGTCTGGTCTTGTGGCAGCTCGGCTGGCCATGTCGGCACACAGCAGATTGCAGCCGCCCACAGCATACTGAATGTTACAGCAGCCGTCAGCCTTCACCCGGGGGAGGGTGAATGACGTCACCGGCAGCAGTCTCGGAGCTCTCTGCCTCCGCCGGAGTTCTCTCAGGCAGAGCCGCGGGGAGGAGGGGAGGGGAGGCTCCGCGGCGTGTCTGACGGTTTACCGACGGCTCGGAGAGGAGCTCCCCCTCCCTCCCCCTCCCTCGGTCGGCCACAGCTGCGGCCTGCCGCCACGGAGCTGCGCCAGCCCGCTCCGACCGAACCGTGTGCCGGCTCGCCGCCGCCGACAGGCATGGGCAGAGGGCACTGCACAGTGAGTAGTGTGTGACCCGGCAGGGAGAGTGCCCCGCCGACGAGAGATGGCTGGGAGAGTGCAGCGGCCAGGGCAAAAACAGGGTGGTCGGCGCCCGTTGACCACACTGAGGTCTGGGAGCCAGCAGACTGTCAGACGGGCAGAGGTCAAGGGCGAGGAGCGACCGGCGTTCAGTGGTCATCTGACAGAGCAGGATAAAAAGCCTGGTTGGCATACGAGGGTGGTATGTACCCTGCTCGCTATCGCTAATCGCTACATCAAAGCAGGCTCAGTTCAGGAAAATGTTTCGCTACCTGCGAAGCAGCACTTCAGTGATCTAAAAAAAACGTTATGACTGCAACATTTCAAACAGCGGCAACACAATTCACAGTCCATGAAATTTTCATCACGGGCTTTCAGTTTCACCTAAACGCATGCAAATCACCAGACTGCTCTGCCCAGAGGAGCATTTTAATCATCTGCTTTGTGCCTGCCGTCGGCCGACATATGGCCTCTCCCGCGTGCGGGAACTTTTCCAAGTCGTCATGTCAACAAATTATCGAAAGCATTTCAGTCACAAAGTTGAAGGAAGGCCGTCATAACAACCAGTTCCTGAGTTATTCCAGCCGCGTGCTTCATACATAATGCAGCCGTGTCAGGCCGAGATAACTTCGTTTGCTCTCCTCAAATGGAGAAAATGTCATTGAGTGCTGAACTTGTATCATAAACAAGAATGACGGCATCGATAAGCAGAATTAATGGGCTGAGTAGCTGGTATTTTTAGCAGCGAGCCGTTGTATTGTCGCACGCGATGAGTTTGGTCTGAAATCTCGACCACATTACGCTCCATGCATGGTTCATTACGTATTTAAATCAACTGCGGGGTCGTTCATAAGGCATACGTTTATTCGTAGGCGCTTTATGCTTGCTCACCTTCATAAATAGCAAAGCACATTGAGCGAATTTGGTTAGATTGATAAGCTTATCTTTTCGATTTGATTCCTTGTGTAATAAGTTCCGTTAGTTTGAGAGGGACAAAACTTCAATCAGTGAACGCACCAAAATTTCATTCTCATCAGTGTATGCACATGTGTAGTCTTCAGAGACCAGCAGACTGACACTGACACCTCGTAGGGGAAGCCGGGGGAAGCCCGGGCGCGGGGGAAGCCCGGCCACCCCGTTTCCGGCTAAATTATTCACAATAAAATGCTCAACTGTTTGTCCTTTCAGCGTGACAGCTAAGGTAACGCCAGCAAAAAAGTTAAGGCTGACAAAAATTGCATATTGTTAAAGTTATGGCGCAAAAATGATATTTTAAGGGTTTTTAGGTAAAAAGTGAGATATGTTGCACTGTTAATGTTATACCATACAGTACTAATATTTATACGAATGTTATGTAAGGACCGTTTAAGTGTTTGTAGTGAGGGGTGACGAGGCAAGCTGGCTTAAGTATGACATTTTTTTCGAATATTGCTGTTCTAAAATAAAAATAAGCACATTGGGGTAACCCCGGGCGAGTGGCCAAGCTTACCCCCAACCGAGAGCAGTGCCACTAAACCACTGTTTTCCATGAGATAATAGGTACTGAGCAGGTTTGGTTTACACCTATATCAAAAATAAATTTCGAAAATAAACATGTTATCATAGACAAAGCCAGTCATGTCACTTAAGGTCAACTAGGGTCAAACTACGTTTTTGCAGATAACGCGACAGACAATGAAGCTAGAGCTTCAAAAATGGTGTCGTTGTGTTCTTCTTCATCAGCCGAGTCGAATGATATGCAATATGATGCATTAAGGTAAAAAGAAAAATAAATTTTAATGAATTTTGAAACACACATTTTTTGCCAATTTTGCATCACGATTTTCATCGACCTGTACTGTATATGTAGTAGACGCTAGCTAAAATACCAGTAGTGGCATAAACTCTAAGATGTCCAGAGCTAATCAGTACCTTAGGTAATATTTCACTTTCCGTTAATATTTGGAAAACACATAATGGTTTCATCAACTCGTTGTAAAGCGCTGGGGAGGTGGCCGGCGTTACCCCTATGCCGGGCTTACCCCAGAAAAATCAACACTTTTTTAAAACTCGATTTTCTCAACCTTATACTTATTCCACGAAACCGAATTTTTGGGAAAACACGGCTAATGAACTTAGCTAGCTAGCAGGATATCAACATTTTATGCAGCACGTATGGTATGTAATAAAAATGAAAAAGAGCTTACTATGCCGGGCTTCCCCCGGCTCCCCTATACATGTTTCCCGGCCCCACCTGTCAGTAAAGTGATACGTGGCCCACCGTCTCTGTCTGACGTTCCCTGGCTCCGTTCATCGTCCGTCGCCCGGCCATGACCGCAGCGAGCCCTCGGGGACAATCGCGACTGGCTGCCCTGTCCCGAACCGAGCGGCGGTTGGCCGGACGACAGACGACACGGGAACGAGAGTACCGGTCCCGAGAGGACCGGTCCTGACAGACGGACTGAGAAACGTCACCAGAGGATGAGATACGACTACATTGCGAGGACGAATTCGACACCGGAAAACAATTGTCAGACGTCAAGTGGCTAGGAGACCAGCGTGTTGCAATTAGCTGTAGGTAAGTATGAATACCTATGCTCATGTCTGATGTGAAGACATCACGTGACCAGTGTAAGGCCGTGACCAGTGTAACGCCGTCAATACATCAACGTCACGTGGTTAATAGACGATCGTCACGTAGCTGAGGGACAGTTGGAACGCGACTGACACAAACAGCTGACAGCTACTCGTAACGGGTAAGCTAGGATTTCTGTCAGATGCACGGGAACTAATCTGAAAAGCAGCACGAGGCAAAAAGTTTTCGTGATGTCAATTTATCATCTAGTCTGTACATAGCAAAATGCACGCAACCGATCACCCTATGACTAGAACCGCTGAGCGGCTAGACGTACATACCTATTCATATACGAAAATAATTAAACCTGCCGGTATTTAAATAATCATATTTAACTAGCTCTGCTATTTTCACCGTGGACGATCACGGGTGCGCATATAAACACTCTATTAGGGCGGCATATGTAAAACTCTCTAGTTAGGAGGCGCCGATAAGCAGCGCGCGCCGGATGCTCGGATCCATCGGCTATTCGCCATCACCGGCGCTAAAGACGCGGCATCCGCCCGAGCGGGCCGCTTCGAGCGGCGCCTGGGGCCTTTAGGAGTCGACAGACACCTACGGTGAGGAGACAGAGCGCCGACAGCCCCGACCAGTGACGGAACAGAGTGCCGACAGCTCCCCTTCTCCTCCCTCAGCGATGCCCCGGACGCTGGGCGCGGACGGCGGCGGCGTCCGGCGCTAGCCACGCGCACGGTGAGACGGATGACGCCGTTAGCGGCCGGCGACGGCGGCAACAGTTGCCCCGAGTCGCGCGCCGCCTCCTCCCGAGCCGAGGAGAGAGCGCACGGAGGGCAGACGCAAGTGGCAAATCGATGCCGGAATGGCGCCGCAGCTATCAGCGTCGATCGCAGGTCACTGCCGGACCGCCGGGCCGGGTCGGGGGGCTCATAACGGCGGACGGTGGCCGGCCGGAGCACCGGGGGAGCATTCATTCAGCCGGGGGCAAATAATCAACTGCAGAGTCTCCGTTCACTCAATTCTGACGTTGCTTCCTTTTGGAGATTGACCGCGCAGAGATTGACGTTGCTCCCTCGTAGAGATTGACGTGACTCCCTCGCGGAGACGACTGACTGACGACTGTCTGACTGACGACTGACTGACTGACGACTGGCTGACTGACGACCGACGATGCTCCGTCCGTCGATGGACGCCGTCGTCGGACACATGACCGCCGGACGGCCGGAGATCAGCCGCGAACGACGGACGATACGGCCCGCAGAGCGGCGCGGAGGGAAGAAGTGGGAGAGTAGAGGCCCAGATAAAACAAGACGACCAGCCAAAGGTCCTGGACGGGAGCACGCCACCGGAATGACTACAATCAGCAGGAAAGCCTGAAAGGTCAGCAAAAACGTGAGGAGAAATGCAGCTGTTCATAGAAATACGAGGAGCAGAGCGTGAACGATGAATATTGATGACGGGAAATAGAGAACAGTGATAAAGTATGACATGACCTTAATCAGGTAGCCAATTACCACAAAGGTTGAATATGTGCGATCGGGAGTAGTCGTACATAATAGACGTCATTCTGCTTTTGATAAACGTTTACTAGCTCGAAATTATATAATTGTTATTCCAAATCCTGGCATCTCGCTGACCAACAGCAGGCACCGATCAGATAAAAAGGCGAGCGGCGCGGGCGAGGGAGGGAGGGGTGAGGTC